ATATATATATATATATATATATATATATATATATCACCCTACCAGCCATCATTTGCTCCAACAGCGACGGTAAATACGGCTCAATTGCCACGGTGCACGCCTTGGTGAAATGCGCCGCACATAGCAGCGTTTCGATGCAAAAATATTTTGATTTTTTCATTCCGTCTTGCAATAATTCGATGATCGACGGCAGTTGTGGCACCAGATGGTCTACACAAGTCCAATAGTTGGGATTCCAATATATATAATATATTTATATATATATATACCTCCGACAGCCAAGGCCAATTCGCCGAGCGCCGAAAACGCAATCCCACGCTCGCTCACGGAAAGAAACGTCGTCACACGCTTCATGAGGTGGACCACGCACACGCTCAAGTAGTGGCGTACGAACGCATCTATATAAATATATATATATTGTCACCGACTTGAAATATATGTTTGACGAGACATATACACAGAAATAATAGTATAATTTCAACCATCCAAACAACAGAAATTGGAACGACAGTGGTGGAGGCACGACGGAGATATATATAGATATATTATGACCACGACATATATATCGTCCATGTCGGCTCGAAATATATATTTTACGAGAAATATACAAAATAATACATTCAATATTTCAACCATCCACACACTCAATCGTATCGACACATGTAAAGTCATGACGGAGATAAATATATGACCACGAGACCACGACTACATATCAGTTCATCGAACAATATCAACAGAAGTATATTTATGGATTAGTATTAGTCACCATATTTGAATATAATTTGATATATTGGAGTAGGTATAGTATACAATCAGCACATCGTACGCTAGTTGCACCACAAAATATGAGCTTGAAAACGCGATATATCATTGCCGTGTACAACCAAAGAACATATGAAAAATAATAATATTCTCAAGGTGACTACAAAATAATAATAATATATATATATATATATTTGAAACACCGTCATATACCAGGGCAGTAAGCCGCGAGTTGGGGCAGCAACAGACACACTGAACGAGCCACGAGCTTGTCTTTGGCATCTTTGTAGCACAACACAATGTCGCAGACCTATCATATCCCCAAATATATATATAAACAATATCACCAAATATACATATCTTCAATATATATATATATATATACATAAACATAAAAACAGCCCTACTTCTCGAAACCGAGGCACCATGAAGCTCCCTGTGTTTTGCACCAACTGGCCAATCACCAAAAGCGACCCGTGGATGCTTTCCCATGCTGGGGATTTGGTCATCACTACCGACGACGAACCTACAAAAAATAGAATATCAAGAAAAATATCATTAATATATCAACTATCACGAGGAAAAAACGGGATTTATTCATAAATCAACTATCACAGTGAAACGGATTAAAAACTAAAATAAAAACATTCAAAAGCAAATATCAGGAGGAAACTGGAAATCCATAGTAAATCAACTATCACGAGGAATAAATGAGATTTGATAAGAAAACAAATCATTAATAAATCAACTCTCACGAGGAAATAAAATCAATCTTACGAGGATACTGGAAATATACTTTCACAGGGAGATAGGTCGAATATATATATTTATATATATCCCCTCAAAAAAGATAGATATATGAACAAACCTTTGACAACATGGAGGCCATCTTGCACTTGGTCGTAGATTTTGCAGTACCATTGCACGCGATGGCGAGTCTGGCGCATTGAAATGAGCTGCAAACATGCTGCCAATGCATCCTAAGGTATAAACATATGTTGAAAATATTTTTCAGCCATCAATATATATATATACATTATATATATACATTATATATATACATTATAGAGATATATACATTATATATATATACATTATATATATATATATATATATAGGGTTAAAATAGGTATTTTAACACGACAACCGCGACTTTATGAAGACTACAGTCATAAAAGTACTCGGCATATTTTGCGCTTTTTCACAGCAGAATAAAGTCTTATGACATAGCAACGCACACACAAAAACCAATCGATTTCACATTTTATACTAGACTACAGGAACCATCGAAATGGCTATATATATATAATATATATATATATATATTGCTGCAAACTTAACATAATGCTTTGTTATGAAGACTATCACCACTGTACAGGACACAAAAGTTCGACGTATCACACTAGAAAGGTACCGTGGCGGCATCCCGAACGTCCACGCGGGGGTCGCGGATGGCAGGCCAGATGGCGACAAAGAACGTGGTGAGGTTCACATGGAAGAGGGTTGGGACGGCGGAAGCGAGCGCTTGCAGCACCATGCACGCGGCGAGGCGGCGGTGGTTGGCTTGGAAGCATGGGTTCGTGAGCCATTCGAACGCGCGCTTGACCTCAAAGTCCACAAAGGCGGCGACGAGGGTGCCGCTGATCCCATTCTCGGTGGACGAGGCAAGGCGGCCAAGCGTCCAACTGGCGGCGCGCAGTCCGGCCTTGGACTCGCACGTGACGAAGAAACTGCGCAGGTAGTTCGCGAACCGGATGATCTGCGCTTCGCTGGCCACGGGGATAAGTGCGTCCACGGCGGCAATCCCGCCCAGCTGGTCCACCAAGCTTGTGCTTTGCAGCAACCCTTGCAACCTCGGCGTCAAGTCGGACAGGAACCGCGCAAACGTTTCCGACGTAAGCTCGCGAGCCAAAGTCGCCACCGACGCATGCAGATCCATGGCGGCGAGTTCCCGCACATATGCATCCTTGGACTGCAGACGAGACAGAATCGCCGTGATCCCGTCGACGTCCCGCTCCTTGAGCTGATGCTTGAGCATGCTCGTCGATCGCCTCAAGGAAAAATGAAACAGAATTATCCGGATTTTTCTTATATCCGGCATAGAATATATTAGCCAAACATGCAAATCTTATTCTACATATACTAGTTACACTGGCAATTTGTAAAGTATTTAATATTACATTATAGAATTTCAAGCATCCGGATAACATAAATCAAGGTGGCGTTATCCGGATGATTACGGTGTATGTAGCCTATTGCTGATCTTCATGGACATAGAACCTGGCACTGAGATGGACCGTCCTACTTCAGCACTGTCTTGATGGGCGCGGGACCATCCGTCGCCGAAGAACGTGACCACCAGTTGGTCCACCATGTCCTATATGATCTGAGTTGACATGGCAACGTTTAAGTGGACCCGACGACGTACACGAGAGGGCGGCGTGATGGTGGGGGAGGAGGAGGATGGTGCAAGGAATCCATGCACGGCATGCATATGTGTGTGGGCCGTGCAAGTCTTCGATCATCAATCACGTGGTGATGATCATGTCACGGCAGTACTCCAATAACGTACATGTACCACGCAGTATACCCCTCGGGCAACGAACAGCATGCTCTGCAGCAGCCACGATCACAGACGCGACAACGATATCGGCGACGATTCCACTAACAGTTACGATCAAAGTCCACAGATTGGACATCGTCGCGCGATACCTGGAACGGGTTGTGGCAGTGGGCACAACGAGCGGCGGTGGTCGTCGGCATGTTATTACGGAATGATAGATGCTATACACTATGTACTCCACTGCGCTCGAATTGTGCTTGGCTCGTTTCTGAACCGCTTGTTTCTCACAAGACCCCATCCATCAGAATCGACTTGTCTTCATATATTATCAATCCATGGCAATTGAAATAATAAACACTCCCACACCAATATTATCAAGGTGATTAGTATTTATAACTGTTAGTCGATGTACTAGTATGCACGACTAACTATTAATAAACTTCAGCACTGTCTTGATGGGCGCGGGACCATCCGTCGCCGAAGAACGTGACCACCAGTTGGTCCACCATGTCCTATATGATCTGAGTTGACATGGCAACGTTTAAGTGGACCCGACGACGTACACGAGAGGGCGGCGTGATGGTGGGGGAGGAGGAGGATGGTGCAAGGAATCCATGCACGGCATGCATATGTGTGTGGGCCGTGCAAGTCTTCGATCATCAATCACGTGGTGATGATCATGTCACGGCAGTACTCCAATAACGTACATGTACCACGCAGTATACCCCTCGGGCAACGAACAGCATGCTCTGCAGCAGCCACGATCACAAACGCGACACCGATATTGACGACGATTCCACTAACAGTTACGATCAAAGTCCACAGATTGGACATCGTCGCGCGATACCTGGAACGGGTTGTGGCAGTGGGCACAACGAGCGGCGGTGGTCGTCGGCATGTTATTACGGAATGATAGATGCTATACACTATGTACTCCACTGCGCTCGAATTGTGCTTGGCTCGTTTCTGAACCGCTTGTTTCTCACAAGACCCCATCCATCAGAATCGACTTGTCTTCATATATTATCAATCCATGGCAATTGAAATAATAAACACTCCCACACCAATATTATCAAGGTGATTAGTATTTATAACTGTTAGTCGATGTACTAGTATGCACGACTAACTATTAATAATCACTCAAACCCAAACACGTCGTCGATCTCTAGGAGGACGTCGTGGGTAACAGATGAATTCCGCACGAATATATGTCCTACCGTTAACAGTTACTATTAGTATGGCATGGAAAGGGGGACATTTGAGACGTCGAATAGAATGCTACAACCAAACGACATTATTATCCGGAGTCCGGATACAAGTTCATATAGCAACGGATATTTATTCTGTACTACTACTGTAGTACTAATTTTTTCGAGCTCGAGGAATGCAAAGAACACGAGGTCTATTAATATTTACTTTTCCAACGGGTTACCTATTTTATAAATATTCCCCGACCAGACGACATATTCAGTTGTTTTATGATCAAAAAGGAACTATAAAATAGTGCTCGAATTATATTTTCCTCATATGCCTTCAGATTTACGAAATTCCAAGGATTTCCAGAGATATGTTGTGTCAAAAATTAGGCATGACACACGCAAAAAGTGTCCGAGAATTCGATGCGTTACCTTACGTCGACAAGGTGAATAAATGACTTATTTTAGTTCAAAATATAAATAATGTTTTCGGATAAGTTATTTATTTGGAACCACTGCCCGAAGCTAGAACATCGCACCAAGGAGTTGCTAGCATTGTGATGTTGAACGTGGGATGGGACGCTTTTCAAGACGCCCAAAGAAAGCCACGTTGTTGCATGTCAGCCACTAATTTTCATGTGTTGCTGGGCTCTAGCCTGCGAACACATGAACCAAGCATCCGCGTAGTTGTTGGACCTGGACCCGAGTCTGGTTTTCGTTGAGTGTTCATGTTCCTGCATACTGGTAACGTGATGTCCATGGATGGATCGACCGCCGGCGTCGTGGGGTGAGCTCTCAAAGCCACGATGGAGTACACTTGGCACCAACAACATGAGCCGAAGTCAATTGTAGGAACTTTCGTCCGGGGGTTGTTCCCGATGGCAGCCATGGCTACCCCTGGGAAAAATGTGACTAACTTTGGCTAGAACCCATACACCTCTAAACATAGATTAATATTTCATAAAACATGGGAATGAAACTGTATTGGTCTGATGGACATGTGGGTTGGATTATATATCCAACAATCATGTTGAAATAGTAGACTGCAAATCGCGACATGGCGTGGATTTGCATTTCTTTAGATAACTTATAACTACGCGTTACACGTTGAATCGGAGCTCGGACAGTGATACATGTCCTTGCGTGACAGCGTGCCACGAATATCCTAGCCATCAAACACCTCGGGCTTGAGAAATGCATGGTTGGGCGGCTGGATGTAGCTAGTTCTGCTGTTTCGTTGCGGTTGCGTTGGCAGATGACACTGTTGTGGGTTTTGCGCTAACGTTGCAAACTGACGTGGCGTCAACATTTGCTGTGGTGTGGTCGTCAGAGCTGGGGCTAGCAACCCCGGACGCTCGAGAACACACAGGACGGACGACGCATGCATTTTGCAGAACGCGGAGGCCCTAGTCGGACAAACGATGTCACACACTAAGTAGCAACCGCACGTAAGAACCAACCGTTGGGCGCCACCCCTACACGCTGGAACCAAGCATGTGATGGTTCCTGTGACGTGGTCGGCTTGAACGAACGCCACGACCGCCCACGTCGTCTTCTTTTTCTTGGCCGCTGCTTTTGCTTTGGGCTGTTTTTTGCGAGCGGCCACCACGTCCCGTGTGTGATACAAACAACGGGACTGGACCTTGGCGAGCCGACGACACGCTAGTTCTTGACAGCGCTGTCTGGGAGCCATTTGGGATGCAATCAATACTGGTGGGAACGCTTACGACACTACGACTTTGAGTATGTGGACCTATTGACAGGGACATCCAATATCGAACGATACTTTTAACTTGTTCTGCAACGTACAATTTCACTGATGGTGCACGTCGGTACACGCGGGGGTTTCAAACGTTTCAAGTTGTAGTACGCATAACGGTCGACGAATACTTCGAGTAACAGTTATTACTATTAATACTAGCTTATGTTACAAGCGTGTTCTTTTCACATGCAACCACATCATACGTTTGCGAATTGAAGGCCATTTGATCCGTCGATGGAAGATGGTTTCAAGGCCTCGGCATTCCGAATAATGCCACCTTGTACTGCTGTACAGTACCTATCAATTGCGTTCCAAATAGGTCCCCTTGTTAAAGACTGACCTCTAGTGTGTATATTCTTTTTAGTTAGGGCTGCCTGTAACAATTTCAACCGACCAAACATACACGGTTTCGAAAGCGTTCAGTTTCTGATTTCTGTCCCTTTCCACCACGTCACAGGATATTCGATTTCAATGCGACGACGTCGCACACACGACAGGCCACAGCTCATTCCAATCTCCATTTCAGAACATCCTCTCTCCAGTATGAACACAACTGCGTACTTCACGCAGTCGCGCCTGGCAATGGCAACGTACGGCGACGTCGTCCTCGCTCACTCAACGTCCCCACAAGACTCCACGGTGACCATCAAACGGAGCGATATTGTGTGCGCCCGTCGACACGAGTCGTTCCAGTGTCCCCATCATTTGACGATAAAGGATATGGACGTGGAGCGTCTTGTGCTGCGCGAGGTCGACGTTCACGGGGGACATCCCCATATTGTGGGGTTAGTCGACGATTTCGATGAGTTTGGATATGCGCAATTGGTGCTCGAGTATTGCCCTCACAGTGTCGCAGAGTGGTTGGCTCGTGACCATCCCACTGAAGCCGAGGTCATGCGCCTCTTTGGCCATGTTGTAAGCGCAGTGACGTTTTTACACGCCCTCGGCATTGCCCACAACGACTTGACAATGTCACATCTCCTGCTGTCCACTTCGAACGACGTCAAGTTGATTGATTTTGCCTCTGCGACACTGTTGACAGAACTATCGAAATCCAACGACGAGCTGGATCTGGGCCGACTGCTCGTGTCGTTGTGTAGCCACGATACATGGAGTCGCAAGCTGGTTGCGTGCAGGGACCACATTGAAGTCAAGCTGGCCGTGACGTGGAGCTCTATGGTCACGCCAAACCAAGCCCGACAGTGGATGGTACTGCTCCACCTCCTAACGAAACAAGAGCCCATGAATGAACTGAAGTCAAGAAACTCCAATACACTTCAAGCGAGGGAACTCTACGAAACTACCGGTAGCTTCAGTCGTGCGCATCGTGTTAAGGTTGGTGTGGAAATGAGCTAACGTTACCCCCAAAACCCCGCGGTGAAATATACTGGTAACGTTAGTTGTGAATGGATGCAAATGCCCAATTAAATCCTCTAACGTTATCGCATTTGTTTCGCATGGTGATCCTTGCGTTAAAGTTAGTGTGTTCACCCTAAAATTTCGTAGTATTAACTGGAAGGTAATTATTGTGCTTTTCACATATTTTGCCCGTTGTTTTAGCTCCTAAAACCATCCAAAGTTTAACCTAAACTGAAGTTGCACTCGACGTAAAAGTAAGCTTGCCCACCGTTCTGTCATTGGCTAATCTAAAACTTGCGTTGTTTTACTAAAACTACTTCGTTTTATTAACTCCCGTGGCCAAGCAGTCATGCAGAGTAATGACCTACTGGGGTAAGCTCGCAGTGCACCAGCTCACACGAGCTTTGCAGCCAGCTTGTTAGCAACTCGTTGGCACGAAAATTCGAGCAAGAAGCACTCAACATCAACCTTTATCGAGCATAGTCAAGAATCACACTCGCGTGTATTAGGTAATCCACTCTGTAAACCCCCGCGTTTGCCGAAATGAAATGGGCAAACGCTTCAGGTTAGCAACATATGCTGCAGGAACAACTCTTGCTCATCCAATCATAGGTACTTCCGATTAGCTAAAACTAAGTTGAATTAATCTAAAACTTCGTCACCCACTGGTTAAAAGCGGGTATTTATACCCAGATTAGCCAAAATATGTGAAAAGCACAATACCAGTACTACGTATTAGTAATACCACTGTCGCACTTAACTTATATTGGTCCCGTACAATTTCTATAGGATTATACAGTTTATGACAACTCTACTGTACACTGTTTTTGGTCGAATTTTGGCCGTAACTCAAATCCTGAGAACGACTAACGATAATTTAATTCTGATTACGATACCGTAGCACCACAAGAGAATATAAAACGCGACCACACGTATCATTGAACTTCATTTCAGATTTGTATCGAAATTATATAGTCCTTTGTTTTTGATATCTGACACCCCTTTAAAACCTTGGTGTTTGTACCGGTTTAAATAAATATGCAAGATAATTTGACCAAAAATATAGTTTGCCTGCAATTCGTAATACTCCAGGACATGATAAAATTTCACTTGAATTTAATTAGTCAATGTAAAGAAAATGCAATCGTATTTTAATTCACTGTTTGTCAACGTCAACGACCCGTTCAAGTGCGCCTTGACGGTGGATACTTTCACAAAAGGTGAAGCCTTTAAATCGTTCAGACTAACAAATAAAGATGGATTTAAAGTCACTTTTTAGTAATTAAACCACCCAACACCCGCACTTAGAAGGAACTGAGTAGTGTGTGGTGCCAAACTTTGCAAATCTCATGAAGGTAGGTAGGCATCTCGACGGAAGTGTCTGCGGCGGCGGCGCTGACGTCCTTCGATGTAGGTTTTGGTAGCCGTCAAGCGCGTGGTAGACTACGCCGTCAAGGTCCGTGTGACACCCGCGGGTGTGGACCTCAACAATGTCAAGATGAGCATGAATCCGTTCTGTGAGATCGCGGTGGAAGAAGCGATCCGGTTGAAGGAAAAGAAGGTCGCGACGGAAGTTGTGGCGGTGTCCATTGGACCCAAGCAGTCCCAGGAAACCCTGCGCACGGCCTTGGCCATGGGCGCGGACCGCGGCATTCACATCGAGACGGACTTGCGTCTCGACCAAGAGTTGCAACCCCTTGCCGTCGCCAAGCTTCTCGCCAAGGTCGTTGAAGCCGAGAAGCCCGACGTACGCCTCCTCCATCTCACCCCTTCGTCATCTTCGTTACGATCCTTATGCACGTTCCTAGTTTATCGTGCTTGGCAAGCAAAGCATCGACTCGGACGCGGCGCAGACTGGTGCGTTCCTCGCGGGGTTGTTGAACTATCCCCAAGCTACGTTTGCCTCGAAATTGGAAATCGCCGACAAGAAGGCATTGGTACGAACTGCGAACTCCATGCACATTGGCGACGGTTGTATGGATGGATCGTCATGAATGTACTTGATGTAGATCACTCGTGAAACGGATGCCGGCGTGGAAACGCTGGAAGCCTCGCTCCCGTTGGTGTTGACGGCCGACCTGCGCTTGAACCAACCTCGTTATGCGACCCTGCCCAACATCATGAAGGCCAAGAAGAAGCCCATCGATTCCAAGCCCATCGCGGACTATGGCGTCGACGTGACCCCTCGCATCCAGACGGTGTCCGTCGCCGAACCCACGGCGCGAAAGGCCGGGATCACCGTCCCGGATGTCGCGACCTTGGTCGACAAGCTCAAGAACGAAGCGGGAGTCATTTAGATACATCCTAAAGTTGCATCTACATCAGCCTTCTTGGTCCTTTTGCTTGATCATATAAGCAAAACGGCGAAAGCGAAACTGTCAGATTAATACCGGATCCGGATAGTGACCTCTTTTTTATTCGCACTTGGAATCTACTGAACTTCTTGTCATTGATTGGCTGAAATGTTACAGATACTCCCCAATCAAAAATTGTTTACCCCGCAAAGCGGGATATTAACCAATCCAACATCGTTATTTCAGGTTTTATGTGGATATTAGCCAATCAAATGATCATCCCGCGCAATCAATTGAACATAATATTAGCCAACCAAATGCAGTCCACTCGGCCAACTATCTATGAGCCTTACTATTAATAGTAAATATATGAGAGTATTTTTGCAAAGTTATGCTTCATGAATGGATATGTACTATATTACTCTTCTATTCCCCGTACTAATACTATTCCTACTCACGACGTTTTCCATCCTGCGAAACAAACCTTGTTAACGTAACCAGATCCACTTCAAGCCTTTAGTAGTCCCTTCCATTACGTCCGCCGCCACCACGTCCGCTGCCGCGGGGGATGGACCGGTGCGCGCCGCCGCGCGTCGGTTGAGTGACTGGCTTGGCGGCGGGAGTGGCATATGAAGGCCGGCGCTGGGCCGCCGTGAGCAGCTCTGTAAACGTCTGCTGGACACAACGATGCACCTCGGCATATCTAATCCATTATTAAAGACACTCGAGTATATATATATAATATATATATATATATAGATTATGCTTCAAGGGTAAAAGAAATGACATAAAGTCTAAACATACGAAAAATCGACACTTAAAAGACAACTTACGACACTACGAGAACCGACTGGCCATCGCGGGACGACAGCAAAATCTTTTCTGGCGCGGCGCTGTCGAGCTTGTTCAAACAATCCACCACATGCCCAAAATCCACCACCGGTCGATTTAATTCATCCACCTATACTCGTTCAATAATAATATTATATATATATCAAATGACAAATAGAAGAGATTACTTGATGAAACACATAGTCTCGAAACAGCTGCAAGAGGTACCGATCGCCCGTGTCGGCCCAACTTTGGTCTTGTAGGAGCTACATACAATACGACATTACCCTCTTGAGATAAGAGACATTCAATCGTTTGAATATATCAAGTGTATTTATTATAAACCGATATTCATATATATATATATCAGGAAAAATAAGTTCATGCAACGCTCGCAGGGAGTAAACATCCATATATTTGGAGTAATATCCGACGTTCATATGGACCTCGTTCCCACACTGCCATATTATTTATATACAGTCCATCAGTCGCTGTAATATATACAGTACACAAGCCAATATTTCAAAAAGAACAAGAATACCTCCCAAATAAATTACATGCATTGATTTATATTCACACTACACTAATGCATGTATATATATATATATATATATTTATGTAATTTATCTTCACACTCGTGCATATATATATATATATATATATATAGGACGTACTTCCGGGCGTTCATTCACTAGACCAAGCTTCATTAGCAGCAGCAGCATGCGGCCGTTCTGGTACTCGGCGCCCAGCTGGAGCTCCGACTCATCCGCCACACGACTCTGCGCGTCCAAAGCAGCAAACACGCTGTCTTGTAGAGGCATGCTCAGGGCCGCCACCTATTTTGTCATTTTAAGAAAATATATATACTATTACAATATATATATATATATATGGTACTACCGTGTCGATGGATTGATCGAGTAAGCTGGTGACCAAAGCACATAACGTAGGCGAATACCGCGACTCCATGACCTCGACCATCTCTTGATCTAACAACGAGTTGATATGTTGAATGGAGATAAATATATATTATAAGTATTTAAATAATATCCATGTTGGGCGGATTATATGTAAATATATATAAATATATACATAGATCCCACGTACGGATAGACATGTGCCAGTCTCGACCACTCGCGACACTCAGCACCACCTTTCCCAGCGCCAAAATATCCTCTCGCTACACACCATGCTCAGTCTACATTTATATATATATATATTTCAAGATAAAAACAAGATGAAACTAAACCCACACACCAACACTTGTATCCCCATAATATTATAATAAATATATATATATATACACGTACTTGCATGCCGTCGACACGAGGTTTGGACTTGAGGCTATCGTACTCCAACACATCCAACACGCCCAAGCCCGTGATTCGAATGCGATCGTGCGCTACCCCAGTCAAATATATATATATCCATTGAAATCACCCTGTTGACTCGTTTTTTGTTATATTTTTTATATATTGTTTACATATACACACCACACGTACAAGTGATGAGCAGGCGCTTGGCGTGGATGCTCTTGCACGCGAGGCTGGCTCCATGGACCACCCGCAGTGCCCCACATACTTGAGTGAGGACGGACCATAGAAAAGCCTCCGAGGGGGGGTGCTGCTGCTGGATGTACTTTTGGTGTAAGCTGACGGCGCCAGGGTAATACTCACACAGGAAAAACAGAGCTACAAGACAGTGAAAAATCTCTGTCACTTGCATGGTTCCGATAAGATATTATATGATGGATTAAGCAAACAACTGAACCAAAGAAGTATGCATATACGAGAATACATTAAGCATGCAAAACGACAAAACAATCCAAAAGGAACGACAAACGATCCAAAAGGAATGAAAAACAAGCTAATATGAATGAAAAAATAATCGAAATTAAATGAAAAACGGTCCAATTTGAATGAAAAATGATCCAAATTCAATGACAACAACAAGGACAAAAACAAAACAAAATGATAAAAAAAAGTCCAATAATAATGGCCAAATCGAACGATCCTCCTTCATACACAAAGCCAGGGGTATACTACCCCATCACTACACTTGCGTACGTAACAACCGACCATACATTGTCAAATCGATTCGAAACGGGAGCCCTCAGCAAGAGAATGGATTCAAGAACCGCCTAAGCCAATCAAATCACGTCGTGTCGAATTTCTGCCAATCCAAACGATTGACTCGACTCTGTCCCTCCACATTGGGCAAAACCATATATATATATACTATTCGTTGTATTTTATACTTTGTTCAAGCTTAAATGTGGTCAAATGGATTCAAACGCTATTTGGTGAAATGACTTGCAAGTCCAAATTTGGGTGAAATGCACAATATATATATATACATATCCCCCCCAACGCAACATATCCACAACCCTAACCCTTGTGTCCCACAGTATTCCACTATTCTCCGCCTTGGCCTTATCACAACAACCTCCAAACAACTCTTGTCAACCCCCACTCAAGTCGAAACCAAATATTGTCGATTTGATACAAATTTGGGTGCAATCGAA